AGAGAGAGAGACAGATAGACAGAGAGAGAGAGAGAGAGAGGGAGAGAGAGAAGGAGAGAGAGGGAGAGAGAGAGGGAGAGGGAGAGAGAGAGACAGAGAGAGAGAAGAGAGAGAGAAGAGAGAGAGAAGAGAGAGAGAGAGAGGGATAAGATACACGTTTCCGCAAATGTCAAAATGTCACCAAGAGCTAACGCAATTAATTTCCTCATTGATCTTTTCGGTGCAATGTTTTCCCAACAATTTTGGGGCACGGCTGTGTGTGTTCTTGGCTGTCTCACTGTGAAGGATGGAGAGAGGAGAGAATTGTAGGATGAGCTGTAGAAGAGGTTTGAAGAAATCATTCACACACACAGAGACACACACAGACTCACACTGACACAGGCACACACACACAGACACACGCAGACACACAGACAGACACACAAAGACAGACAGAGACACATAGAGACACACACAGACACTCACACTGACACAGGCACACACACACATACGCACGCACACGCGCGCGCACACACACACACACACACAAACAAAACAAAACGACATCAAAAACATAAAAAACTAAGAGCACAAATTTGACAGAAGTATCTTTTGAGAATAGAGGGAGAAGCTGTCTATGCGGTTTGAATAAAGGAAAAACTACAAAACATCTGAACGACAAAAACAAAACCAACAAAAATACAATACACAAAAAACAACAAACAAGCAAAAATGAAAAAAGATGGAAAAGGTCGATGAAGTGCACTTCAACAGCGCTGTTGAGAGAGGAAGTGAATAATGTGCAGATCGCAGCAAGAGGAAAAAATAAGTAGGAGAAAAATCAGGTTTTGATGGGGAAAATGACAATAATATCTGCCTCAAGAACAATAAAACAGGATAATAATCTCGCCACAGGAAAGGGGAACTTTTATGCACCCCCCAAAAAAAATTAATTAAATAAAAAAATAAAAAATAAAAATAACCCTATCTTCCCGCCAAACCAAATCAAATAACCCATAAAGACGACCCAATGCTGTAATGTAATTCCTCCAAGCTAACTTTGGTTTTTTTAATTTCTTGTTGTTGTCTCTATTCCAGATCTCGTTTGGCGGGTTTTCATTCATTCAAGTTTCCCGTCTTCCGATGTAGGAGAGAGGTAAATACCCGGGGGCTGAGAGGTGAGAGAGAGAGAGAGAGAGAGGAGACA